TGCTTACTTCCAATTAACATTACTTTGGTTTTATCAGTATTTATGACCATTTTGTTGACATCACACCATTTCTTTACATGATTAAAATCCGTTTGTAGACATGATTCGATAACATCCAAATTTGTGTCTGCTTTTTGCATTGAAGTATCATCTGCATACATAAAAAGTTCACAATGTTTTGAGCAGAGTGGCAGATCATTGACATATAATAAAAACATCAAAGGCCCAATTATGGAACCTTGAGGTACACCAGTTGTAATTTCACAGGCATCACTTAAAGAACTTTTGAAAGATACTTTCTGAAATCTGTTTGAAAGGTATGAGGTAAAAAACATAATGAATTTTTCAGAGCATCCATATATTTTCATTTTCTGGAGTAGTATCTTATGGTCAACCAGGTCAAAAGCCTTACGAAAATCAATATACATTACACCGATGAGGTTTCCCTTGTCCAATTCATCATACCATCTATTTGTAAGTGCAGTAAGAGCAGTTTGACATGAATGCATATTTCGAAATCCTGATTGATTCTCAATGATTAGATTGTGTTGGTTTAAAAACTTATAAAAGGTAGTCTGCACATGTTTTTCTAAGAGTTTGGATAAAATTGGAAGAATAGATATGGGTCTGTAATTAGTTACAAAGCTCCAATGACTTTTAATTGACAGATGCAATTGTTATACGGATAGACGAATAATGATACTTATCACTAACACACGAAAAACATAATGGGCATATCTTCTCATACCGTGGTATCCCAGACAATCGGCTAGTTTTGATAGGCAATATGTATTAGATGTTCTGAATTAACACACAGTTATTCTATTTTGGCATTTAAGTTTCACTTAATATGGTCTAAAATTCAAATTGAGATTTGAGTATTGCGTACGTTTGATCACGTAATGAATTTAAGAATACAAAGGTCAATAAAAAACCTATTTCTAAAAGGCATTCGATACTGTTTTGCATAAAACATATTTCCGTATCATTGAGATGGACTGAAAACGTAAACGTAGAGAGGTCTTTACCAATGACCCTGCTTTACCCCGATGTTACAGAAATCAGATGTTATATATCACTTGAAAGATTTTCCTGCAATGTTACTTTTTATTACATTTGCCCATAAACCTATCTTCACGGCAGTGTTATATGCTTTATTATCATCTTTATTTCCTCCAAATGAAGATTACAATATATTTCATATCAATAAAGACAAAATAATACAATAGCAAAATCAAAACAATGGATAATTACATACATGCCACAAAAAAATGTATATATGTTATTTATTTGACATATGGTAAGGTATGCATACATTGTACAATAAAATTCACCCTAACGGTGATATAAGCATGTGAATCAATAAAGAATGTGTCATAAATAACTTTCAAATCAGCTGCTGTAAATTGTTAACATTTTATAGACATTTGCCACAGAAGTAATTCTAAATTCTTCCAATTCATTATTTTTTAACCTGAAGTTAACTTCGCCTCTGAGCAGATGATACATAGTTTCAGCTTCAGATAATGAATTTATATAATGATTAAATGTCAGGTTGTGTATATTGGCTATATCCATCCATAGCTTATATCTAAAAGTTCTCTTAAAATCACATCTTAATACAACATATTCTGTATGATCTTGGTAGAGCACACCACACTTGTGACAAAGTTTTGTAGTTCTACTATTTCTTAGTATGACTAATCAGCTGATCGATACCTTATAGCAACAAGAACACGTAACATGTAGCATAGTGCTGTGGTGTGTAATAATTTACTAAACATATAAGATAAGACCTCAGCAGACCTCGCCGGTAGGGACCACCCAACCCTTAGAACACTCAGGTCTTCTATCGTGCTGCTATATGCCTGATATGATCGAAAATGTAAACAACCAACAGAATATAATGCTAATGAATTGCAATGCCTTATTATAACAATTAGCCAACCAAAAAAAAGAGCCGAATGTCGAATGCCAAATTTAAAATATTGAATAATATATAATATATATGATATAATATCTGTAAACTTTATTTATTTTACAACAATTATAAAACAAGTTATTTCAACTTATATTAATCACTTTTGTTGGCCTGGATTTTAGCGCGCGGGTATCTAAATATCGGAGGAAAGCGAAGTAACCGGAGGGTCGGGCAGGTGACCCCTTACCTTTTCACGTCCGATTGGGGAATTGAACCGCGGCCGCCTAGGTGAAAGGCAAGTGTTATATCCACTGCGCCACCCGACCATCCGATAACAAATATTGAATATAAGGGGTATTCCAAAAAATATAACACAAACAATTGAATTTAGATTTTATGTCTTTGCACAACTGACAACTTATATCGAAAACAACGACGGAATTGAAATAATTGATAGTGATTTAAAATTAATTATTTAAGTCCTCTTTAACAGTGTTTGCCAGCAGTTTGCCAGGGATCCGAATTATGTCATCTCTATTATTATGATATCTGTTTATTTACATTAGGAATATAAAACTTTTGATGAACAACACTTTAAGGCAAGTTCAGTTACAGTAAAGGTCGTTTAGATAAGCGAATGAAACATCGCTCCATTTCGGTATAGGACTTCATTAAGTTGAAATAACTTGTTGTTCAATCCATTTGTATCGTTGTACAATAAAACATGTTTTAACTATATGAAACATCGCAAAGGTGATACTCATCTTATGCTTATAGCAATTTAAGACCATTGACGGGTGGAACATAAGATGTTGTGAGATGTAAAAATTATCGTATGTCCCTAAAAGTGACTAATCGGTTTTGTCACGTAGATGGTTAAAACAACTGATTACAGCTTATCTTGTATTAGATCTCCTGGACAGATATTGATTTTTACAACAAAGCGAGACTACTGTTTATCGTATTTTCTTTGCGTCATTTAAACTAAATGCACATGTATAACACACAAATGAGTAATAAGTCACACTCGTCTGCTGGATAACAGAACTACTCGGTAGTGAAGCGGACATAAAACCGCTCAAAAAAACTAGCAAAATTAGTCATATTGTGTATTTACAAACAACTCCGTAGCTTTTGTATAATATATCTGGACTATATTATTTATAAGTATATTGTTTGTATCAGTTCCCTATGTAAGTACGAGCTGCGTGTATCTAATACCAAGCTGTATGTTTTTTAAATACTAACGTGGCAAAACAAAAGTTTAATTGCGATCACATTCCTAGCCATGTTTGATTTTCTTGTCTATTTTTTAAGTATCGGCCAAGCAAAAATATAACGGGATTATTATTTACAGTAATTTCATATACTTATATAACAATCTATAACAATGATATAACTTGGTTTAATCAGTTGTCTCGAACGTTTATACTAAAACGAAAAGGAAACTGAACTAAGTTTAAGGGTTAATAAAATAATATTTTAAGAAATATGTCTAAAGTTCAGACGTATTAGTTGATTCTTAACTACGTGAATATTGATTGGAATGCCTACATTTTTTCAAAGGAAGTTTTTTCAACATATGGGCTTTAATCTGACCGTCATAAGATATATTGAACTCAGTTACTATAACATAAACATAAAAGGATGGACCTCTAACATCACATCGGAAAACGTCCGGGCATATCTGACGTGAATCATTGCAGACGACGTGATTGGCGTTGTTGTGTTATTCGCAGTCAAACGTACGTTTGGGTATATACAAAAAACATTTCCTTTATCAAAACAACATCCTGTATATCTTTTGTCTAAAACACTACAATGTTCCCTGTATCGTTGGCGAAGGATACAGCTGTTGGTATTCCATCGTGCCCCTGAGGCTTTTGTGGTAGCGCTAACTTCTCTGACCTCCCCCCACCGCGCAATATATAAAGTATGTTTCTCTCCTGGTCAATGACGTAGTAATTCGAAGAAGAATCCTCGGCGCACATTCCAGGAGTGAAGCTTGTGTAAAGCTCCCCTTCGTCCTCATCTGGTTTGAATTTGTCGGTGTACTTTCGGGTTTCGTCATGAATTTTGAGCTCTCTGGTGCCCACATCGGAGACTAGAATCTTCCCAGTGGCGCTCACCATCACATACAAAGGGCGTACAAAAATTGGATCTTTCCCAATGGTAGAAATGATCCTCTTCCTTTTTCCCGTTTTCGGACAAAACACAAGGATATTTGCTTCGTCACATACGTAAACGAGTCCCACTCGTGATATGGAAATTCCTTGTGGTTTCTTGAGCTTTCCCACTAACACTTTCTGGAATTCTCCCTCGGAGGTATACACCCTGACACTTCCATCTCCTGTTCTTCGACCTAAATTAAAATAATAAGACATATAGAAATGTATTTCAGTAGAAATGTTGCATTGTGTTATATACATGAACGACTTATCAATGCAATTTGTTTTACAAACGGAATCCTTAATGAATAGAAAGTATATGTTACAACATCTGCAATCGTAAAAAACAAGTATTAACAAGATTTCCGAATTCACAAGCGACACCTTTCTCGCATAATAAAGATCATTTACCCACCAAATTGTGTTGTAACGGTTGTAGTTCAACTTCATTAAACATTTCCATTATTTTCACTTTCCATTTATTTTATCAATGTTCCAACTACAAAAGGTAGACATTTGTTATCATTTACCTTCATCCGTTATGTACAATGGCGTCCATGCCTCTCCATGTTGTTGGCTTGCAACATCAAACGCCCGTACGAGATCTGTGATTGGCCTATATAAGTATCCATTCTGTCTAAACATTTTCACATCGTTATCATCGGTGACAAATGTAAAGTAGTGACCGATTGAACCTCGGACAACCGTGAATCCCGAGGGTCGAAAGGGGAGGAATACACGGTGGACCAATTTTTGCGGAAATGCACGGTTGTCGATTGCTTTAGAGACCGATTTTCGAAATGTTCCTGAAAAGGGAGATAATGGCGGTGGATTGAAATGGCTGTCCAGTTCATCTTCTTTCTGTTCCGGAGGTTCCGTGTCATGCTTTTGTTTTCGTGTAGTATTATCATATAGGGAATCGCCGAGGTCATGGTAGATTTGCTCATCTTTTTTAGCTGCTGGGAGACTTTGATTTTGATATTGATTTTGAGGTCGTGGAGGAAGTGGAGGACGAGGGCGAGAAAAAAAAGGACGAACATCCATAGTTGGTCGTGCCACTGATGTAGGTAATGGATAATAAGATTTTTCCGGTTTTGGTCTAAGAGGGGGTGGTGGAGGTGAGATTGAATCATCGTACGTGTGGACATCGTCCGGGTACACATCATTCACGTACAATTTCTCCCCATCAGGAAAGAAGTCGGACGCTGTCCCATCCTCGTCCTGCGCTATTGATACTTCATCTATCCTTACATCACCTAACTGAAGTTGTGACAGATCTTCTAGGACTGTGTCATTCTTGGTGAACTCAATGTTCCGGTAACGTGGTACAGGTTTGTTTTCTATCAGGAGTGCAATGTTTGCTTGTTTAACCAATCTTTTTGCTTTTCTGCTATAGTCTGTTGTGTCATCATGCGAAAGTTTTCCAATCCTGTTGCTGATGTGACTGAACTCAGATATTCTGTCTTTGATATCCTCCTGCCTCTCCGTCAGTTGTTTGACGTATTCGTCTGCCTTTTCCTCAATAGGTCGAAGCATTTCTTCCTTTTTCATATGAATTTGTGTGAACATTTCCTCGGCAATTTCTTCTATCTCGTCTCTAATGGTTTCCTTTTGTTGAACTTGCTTTTCGATCATTTCCTGCAATCTTTCTTCTTTTGCTCCGTCATCTTTTCCCCGTTGGAGTAAATCAGCTCTTTGTTTTTTGAGTAGTCGCTTGAGATGCCTATTATGTTCAGATATCTCTAGTTTATTGTGGGTAGAATGGATGCTGCATTTGGCGCAGATAAGTTCATCATCACAAGTGGTACAAACAGAAACTATTCTTTGTCCATGTATATCGCATTCTTCGTTCGACATGACAGACTTTGATTGTTGAGGTAACGTCTTAGTCCCCCCTTGATCTGGGTCAGAATCAACAACCTCATATTCGTTCGCATCTTCTTCACCCCTTACATCATCTGCAGTACAACTTCCTTCATCTGCTATATGGCCGCTACTTGCAACGTTTTGAAGAGACTGCAGCAGGTGCACAATGTCCATAGCAACAGGGTAGTTTTCGACCTTTCCTAATTTTGGCTTTATAGGTCGTTTACAGGTTGGACAAGAAGACGAACAACTTATGTGTTGACTTAGACAATGGAGGCAAAAGGCGTGTCCACACTCTATTCGACGAGGGTCGAAAAGATCCAAATGGCAGATATTACACTCTGTAATTGACAACACTTTTGTGTAGTCTTTTTTCTTCCTCGAAGCCATACTGGTTGCAGGCCTGTAAAATTAAAACCAATATATTAATAGTACATTGTTTTAATTGCAACATTCTTTATCGTTCTTTAAAAAGAGTACTTCATCTACAGATTCCTTTCCATAACTTTGTGGAGAAATTATGTTACTTATGTAACTGTTATGTTACAAAACTAAATAAATAAGAACTGATCTTAAACTGCACATAACAAAGAAATATGTACAACAAGTCAGTGATTGCTTCAGTAAGTAACTATTTTCATACCCCTCATATCAAAGATTACAATATTTTATTGAGAAAACAGCTAAATACAGTTTGAGAATTGCACAACGTATATGAATACTTATATCTAAAATAATAATCTTTCTTGGGTCTTGTATATTTTAACGAAGGCTCAGGCAAACATCCACGAGTTCAAATATCAGCTCGAGAAGCCAAGGGCTTTGATATCAGCATTGATTCAGGGATAAAAGAGTTAATACTATGTTTACAAAGGCACATCATATTATATTCATCATATAATATCATCAAAGGCATTCCGGAGAAGTATATTATCAATGCTGTAATAATGTTATAAAGGAGGTCAACTGAAGAAATTACGAAGGAGTATTGAAAATATGTTGTAACGTGTCTAACAGTGTTATAAATGGCATTAAAAAGGGTTGCAGAAGCAAGATGAATTAAAGAAAAGAAATATTTCCCTTATCGGGTATACGCAAAGTCTATATTTAGAAGTGCATGAAGATGGTGTGATAGTTTGATTGTTGCTATAAACACCTTGTACATGTCGTGTTATGTACCGCGGTATCAGACAATACACATTGATAGTAAATACCGTATCCACGAAACCTGTCAAAAGTCTTGTCTCATAATGAGTGTTGGGTAACATGACAAGTTGTGTACTACCTACGGATGATTGCATATCCAGATCGTCTAGGTAGTATACATGTGTAGGTGTGCGGTATATAATACTGCCCTACTCGATGCAAAGTATTTTGTATAGAAAATGTGTGTTACGTATGCTGGTCATTAATGGGAAACCTCGGGTATCTTCACTTCCGAATAAATTGTAAAAGAGGGAAATAATCCATCAAAAATTAAATTATTGACTCTCTGAATCAATAACGTATTAAAGTTTGATATAAGTCAGCTAGATATGACATACACGTAATCTCAATTGAAACAGATTGATTCTTACTATAGTTATACCATCGACGATGAATACTAGTATAAATTAAAACGAAAGTAGCATTATGATATCTCACTGGAAATATTTTCCTCTAAATGTACTAAACTTAATAATATAAGATCAACTTAAGCACACCAGCAGTGTCTAATTTACAAATGGTTTTCAGATACCTTATAGCGTCATCTATCTTGGAATATATAAGAGAGTACTCTGCTTTGTCTTTGAGATCATTTATAATATCTACATTATCCTTTTCATGAAATATGTTATTTATTAATATTTATAAATTTTGCTCTCACAAATAAGTGCGAATTTGTCATAACAGCAAATATTAGTTTTAAGCATAACTAACATAATAATTACTTGAGGAAAGCGTCGTACCAATAGGGACTTTATAAGTGAAAGGTGACACTTTGAATTGGTGAAAGTGTCCTAGCACACACTAACAGCATCATTGATTTCCTAGCACACACTAACAGTATCAGTCATTTCCTAGCACACAGTAACGGTATCAGTTATTTCCCAGCACACACTCCTTGTAACAGTATAATTGAATTCCTTCTAACAGTATCATTGATTTCTTAGCACACACTAACAGTAACAGTCATTTCCTAAAACACTTACAGTATCAGCCATTTCCTAGCACACAGTAACAGTAACAGTCATTTCCTAGCACACGCTTATAGTATCATTGATTTCCTAGCACACACTAACAGTATCAGTCATTTC